ATCTTCAGAAGTAAATGTTTCAAGTCCTCTTCACTTTCAGCAAGCAAGGTTGTATCATCTGCATATTGCAGGTTGTTAATGAGTCTTCCTCCAATCCTGACGCAAATATGAAAATAGTGACACAAAAGTTTTCAGAATAATTTTTAGAAGTATATAAAAGATTTTAAAAGCAGAAAATTAAAGGGAAAATAATTTGAAGATGCTAAATGCGAAATTCGTTTAGACCCAAATTCTATGATACAGTGTGCTTCACTTTATTTCATGACCACTACCTGAAAACACTATAGGATAAGCACTTGACTGGTGTCAGCAAGGTCGGCAGTTCAAACCTATCAACCCCTCTCAGAAACCTGAGAACTGACTCAACAGCACACAACAGCCTGAAATCTTTTAAAATTAAAACTTTGAAATATAGATTATGTTTAATACAGTAAATAAGCTTGCTTAACTGTTGCAAAGTAATTTTTCAGGCAAATTATTGCAGTATAATTTAATATCTAAAGCCATTTTAAATAAGTTTATGCAAAAATTATATATATATGCTATGAACTGCTAACCACAAGGTCAGTGGTTCAAACCCACCTTGGAAATTTGATGCAGTGTCACTTTGAGTACAAACAACTTAAGTGCACCTAATAACAAGATATATATATGAATTCTTCTAAACTATGGCGTCCTGGTGTGGCACTGCAGGATAATATACTGGATGGCAAAGTCAGTTTGAATCACAAAGTTCGGGTTCAAACTCACCAGTTCAAACTCCTCGGAAACCCTGTACAGACAGGGTCACTGTGATTTTGAATTGACTCGAGGGCACTTCACAACAACAGTGACATTATAGAAACAAAGTCCTGGTGCGACGAGTTAGGATAAGCACTGGACTACAAAGTGAGTTTGAATGGAAAAGTCGATAGTTTAAACCCATCAGTTGCTCAATGGAAACCCTGTACAGGGTCATTATGAACCAACAACAACAATATAGAGCACACCTCTATTGTGTTGTCTTATTTTTCTATTCTTATAATCATAATTCATCAGAATTGTGATGAGTTTTATTGATAATCCATCAGAATTGGTGAATTTTCATATAGTAAAACAAAGTATCAATTTATGTAAAGATGGTCCTTGGAATTTTGTCATTTGTTGTTGCTATTGTTGTCATTGTTAAATGACGTCGAGTCTATTACGACTCACAGCAACCTGAATAGCATTTCCAAGAAGGAGCTGGTGGGTTTGAACCATTGACCTTATGGTTCACAGTCCAGTGCTGATCCTACAACACCACATCAGGAGTCCAGATTTGTTATACTGCAATCTATATCTGAAATACAGTGTGACTTAAGGTTTGTTGTTGAGTACCGTGGAGTCAGTTCCGACGCATAGTGACCCTGCACAGTGTTTCCGAGGTTGCAAATCTTTATGGGAGCAGAAAGCCTCATCTTTCTCCCGTAGAACAGCTGGTAGTTTCAATCTGCAGACCTTGAGGTTAGCAGCCCAATTCATAACCATTACGGTACCAGAGCTCATTGTGACTTAAGGTAGGCAACATACAAAAACTGTAACCGTCACCAAAACATTAATCAGCGTAAACATCAACAAATGTCTTAAGTGACAGAACTCTAAAAGCAAGTGCAAGGATTTATCACCATTCAAAAGTCCGTTTTAAATTGTAAAGTATATTATGTAAAACTATATAGTAAAATGGCGAACACCCCAGATTTTGCAAATTAGAAGGATCTCTGATGACACACACAAAAAATTATTCTCTTTGCTTTAAAACAGCAATAATAACTAGAGTAGCTCTGGTCCATTACATTTGTCCTCCTTAAGTTCTCACTAGGTCAAGACATTTTACTATACCACTTTTTCAGTATGCTAGAGATTTCTAGGAGTCCTGGTGAGGAGCTGCAGGATAATGATCTGGAACTCAAGATCTGTTTGAAACCACAAAGTTGATAGTTCAAACTCACCAGCGGCTCCTCGAAAACCTTATATAGGGTGGCTATGATTCAGAAAACACTCAACAGCACTTAACAACAACAACAACAGAGGTCTCTAAGTATAATTTGGCACTATGATATGATAGGTACTGATAAGCAATATGGAAAGAAAAATTCTTCATCCTGAAGAAATATTAAGAACTATTGAGCACATCTATGCAGTTCCACATAATTCTGAACATGTACCAGCTTTCCAGGCATTTTCTTAGATATATAAATAAGTATCAGGAATATCTGAGATCTCTTGTTTTGAAAGTGACTTAAAAATTTTAGATGCCCACCTGATGCTCCAGCAACCAAGAATATATATAAAATGGATCTTTTTATTACCAATTCAAACAAAACAACTCCCCAAATTGTACAAAGGATAATTAACTCCCTCTTTCTCCATATATTAATTATTAATCAACTATATTAATTATTAATCAAACTAGGTTCTTCTAGGATCTCTGTTTTACATTCCTAAAGATAACCTTAGCATATGTCTGCAAAATACTCACCCAAAAATACTCACCCCAGATTCTCTTAGAAATTTCTACAAAGGTGGCTATTAAAAAGAAACTGAGCTCCTTTGAGAAATTGTGGATACTATAATGCTAATAAAATATAATATGATATATCAAAAATTGCTAAAATCTCAGTCTTTTTTAAGACTTGGATGACCTGATTTGGAAACCAAATAGCTAAGTCATGAGACTAAAAAATCATAGTACTAAAAAACAACAATTATTATAATTCTCTTACTCTGCTCCCACAACAACAGCGTCAAGTTTGTTTGCTGTCTGTCTATTCAGGAAGTCATAGGATAGTTGCTCTGGAATGAAAGAAATCAATTTAAAATAATGTCCTATAAATAAAGAAAATAGAAAACCACCTTCACCTAGAATATAGGGCAGAAATATTAATTGTGATTAACTGATGTTAAGTAAGAATGTATATTCCTCAATTCTGATACCATTGGAGGGACAACCATTAGAGTAACAAAATTTACCTAATCCTTCACCTACTAAATAATTCCTAACCATAATCAAAGAAAAGACTTCTTTGACTGATGGCAATAGGGGAAGAAGCTTAGCCTGTCCTGCTGACAATAGTATTGATTTCCCACAATAACATTCCTTCCAAGTTCATTGTATGATGCACTTCCAAAGCCACTGCTCATAAAATATGGTGCTGATATGGTATGTTCAACTTTACACAATTAGGTATTAAATGGAGGAGACCTATAGTTGTGCAGTACTGGTACGGACTATAACTGCATTTAAGCGTCTCTAAGTCAGTAAAGCCTCATTAGGAAAACTAAGGACATTTTTTTGAACGCTTATTAGTAATAAGCACAATATTTTAACTTTTGCTTGAGTGAATCCTGTTATCTCTCAAATGCTGCAGAACTAAAAGGAGGAAGCAAATGTATGTATGAACTCTAAAACCACACATTCATTATCATGGTTTCTTAAATAATACAATTTGCTTAGAACAGAGAACTCTTGAATTAAGAAGAATTTTATAAGTTTTATATATTCAGAGGCTCAGTCATGGTATATATATTCTTTAAAAATTACTGTTCAATATCATTGTCCTGTTCAAGGAAAAGATATTAATCTAGTAGAAATATTGATTAATGTGTGCAATTAAAACAAAGTGAGTTTTCTACTTAGGAAAGTTTCCAGTTTAAAAATATGACCACATTAATATTTAAATAATTAGAGGATAAGATGCTGTGACCATTTTAGTGCCTAGTTAAAATTAGTTATGAAGCAAACTCATTTTTATCTAGCTAATTGCTGGATGCTTAAAAGTGATGGCAAGATAAGAGTCAAGTAAAAGTTTGCAATAATATTCCTATTGGAAATCTATGCCAAAATTCCTCTCAGTCACTTAATATTTATTCTTTCATTAAAAACACATTAATTAAGCAGTCATTGCATGGAAGGAAGTGATAATGGATTTAATGATGGCCATCAAATGGGGAATGTCAATTCTGGAAAAATATATTCAAAGACAAAGAGTTTTGAGAATGCATGGAGAGCTCAGGGAAATAGATATAGCTGAGTAGAGTTTACACAAAAGCTTAGATTTTTTTGTGTGTGTATTTGCAAGAGAGGAAAGATATAATGTTAAAAAAAATTAGGTATAGTTGTCATAACTTTCATGTTTCCCTAAGGATGTGTTCTTCAATAGATGAAGAACAACTTTAAAGAATTTAGTAAGACATAGTATGATCACATTTGCACATTACAAAAAGAAAATTAGAATGAGTGTTATACAGATGAGGGAGTGGTGATTGAAGAGTTGTTATTGTTAAGTGCCATCAAGTAGGTTCCAACTCATAGCAACTCTGTAGAGTTTCTGAGGCTGTATATTGTCACAGGAACAGACTTCTCCTATAGCTGCCAGGCTCAACATTGAAGAGTAGCAATCATATAGAGGAATCTAAATGACAAATAATGATAGGATAAATGTATTGTATTAGGCAAATCTGTTACAAAAGACCCTTTTAAAGTGTTAAAGAACAAACTTGATGGACTGAGGTGTACCTGACCCAAAACATAATATTTTCAATGGCCTCACATGCATGTGAAACTGGACAATAAATAATGGATGCATATGAATTATGGTGCTGGTGAAGAGCATTGAATATATTATGCACTGCAAAAAGAGCAAACAAATCTGTCTTAGAAGAAGTACAGCCAGAATGCTCCTTAGAAGATAGAATGATGAGACTTCATCTCACGTACTTTGAACATGAAGTTCCAGTACCTGAAAAAGGACATCATGCTTGGTATGGCAGAGAGTAAGCCCAAAACAGGAAGACCCTCAACAAGATGAATTGACCCAGTGCCTGCAACAAGTGTACAAGCATTACAATGGTAAGGATGGTTCAGAATCAGGTAGTGTTTTGTTCTGTGGTATAGAAGGTCGCTATGAGTCAGAATTAACTTGACATCACATAATAACAAGTCCTATAGTACTGACAGAAAAGAGAAGATATATAGGAAGTAGGATGAAGAGAACTAGAAGCATTTTATTAGCTGGATTTTGTTGATGTTATTGTTTTATTACTTGTATCTTTTTTTTTTTTCTTTCCTTTTCTGTTAGAAGGTAAAAATGATAAGTTTGATGTTGCTATGCTAAGAATGAATGACATGTGGTTTATCCAGTTTGTGGCATATATTGACAGAAACTCAGAAATATATGCCAACATGGAGATACAGAACTGGATGATGACAGCCTGCGTTGGGGGTAAGTTGGAAAGGATGGACATCTAGATAAGAGAGCAGGTTGATTCACAAACTAAAGAATGGGATACCAAGGAACATGCATATTTATCAAGGTTAAAGACAGAACATTATTGTGTGTGTGAATTTGATTGCATTTGTTTTATTTTAAACAGGGAAAAGCAAAGATATGAAGGGGGTAAGACTGAAAAAATCCAATAGAGTTCACTGAAGCAGAAAGAAGATCAACCTGGAAGAGACTGTAACAAAGGAGGAGTCACAGAGAGGACAAGTTTGAAAATAAGAAAATGAAAGAAGATTATTGATGAAACCAAGAAATGAAATACGAGGAAATTTTAAGAGAGTATAGCTAACCAAAAGGTTGGTGGTTCAAATCTACCAGACACTCCTGGGAAACCAAATATAGGATCACTATGAGTCAGACTGACTTGACAGTACTTAACAACAACATAAATTTTAACACTGGTTACACAATTTAATTTTATGTTTTCATTTTGTAAAAACTGTGCATTGGATTCCAAACTTCACCACTGTAAGTATTATTGCATCACAGTCTACAATTCTCATGCATTGATAATTACAAATAGCATCGTTTCTGATTTAACATTGAATGCATCATTGCAGTTTTCATTTTTCTGAACCTGAAGTCAGATGCTTCAGTAAGATACAAACTTATGTTTCACAATTACTACTCAAGCTTCCTTTTCTACACTGTCAATTAATAAAAGCTTATTTAGGAGAAAGAATTCAGAAGAATGATATGGAAACAAATCCAAATGCCCTGAAAAGGGGTGGAGGAAAACAAGGAAGAAGTCAGAAAAGTACTACAAGAGCAATCAAACAAGATTGATACAGCAATGGAAACAATTCAAAACCTGCAAAAAGATGTCCAGATGATTAGTAATAAAACATAAGAAATGGAAAATACACTGAAAGTGAAAAGGAGCAGAATAGAAGAGATGGAAGCCAGAACTAGTGAGCTAGAAGACAAATCTCTCAATACTGCTAAGATAAAAGAGCAAGCTAAAATAAAGGATAAAAAAAATCTGAAGAGAATCTAAGATGCATGCTGGATAACATGAAAAGGAACAACTTAAGGATTATTGGCATTCTGGAACAGGAAGAATCAGAGAAAATAGTTGAGGAGCTTCTGGAAGAAAACTTCTCCAACATCTTGAAAGATGAAAAGATAAACATTTAAGACCCCAAAAGAAAGTCACCAAGACATATAATAATCAAGCTCTCCAAAATCAAAAACAAGGAGAGAATTCTAAAAGCAGCCAGGGAGAAGAGAAGTGTCACTTACAAGGGTACGCAAATCAGATTAAGCTCTGACTATTCAGCACAAGGAGTCCTGTGTGGCGCTGTGGATTAATGTGCCAAACTGCAAAGTCATTTGAACTGCAAAGTCAGCAGTTCAAGCTCACAATCTGCTCCTCGGAAACCCTATGCAGGGTCACTATGGGTCAGAATCGATTCGATGGCACTTAACAACAACAACAATTCAGCACAAACCATGCAGACAAAAAGGCAATGGGGAGACATATACAAAACCCTAAAAGAAAAAAACTGCCAACCAACAATGCTCTATCCAGCAAATACAATGGTGCAATCAAAACCTTCCAGGATAAACAGAATCTAAAAGATTTTATCAAAACTAACCCAGCACTTCAAAACATTCTAAAGGGAGTTCTTTGGACTGAAAACCAACAAGAACTGACAACAACCAGAAATTGACAGGCATGGCAACACCACCTGACACTCAGTTGACAAATAGCAGAGTCCAGAACAGAACAAAACTACAACAACAAATTCAAAGGAGCTGGGAGGTCAATCGAAGATCAAAATAATATAAATGTCAAAGAAAGGATAAATGTAGGAACAGAGTCCCAGGTGGTGAGGACGTCAGGTAGATTACAGGATACAATAGATTCTTTTAAATGGAAAAAAAAGTTAATAGACTATAAGGTAACCCCAAAGAAAATTAATACGTCATAATTTACCAGGAAAATGAACTTCCAAGCAGAACAAGCAAACATGAAAACCAAGAAGAAACCGACAAGAAATAGCACACACACAAAAATAAACACACACACACACACACACACACACACAAACTCAGCACAAGAAGGCACAAGAACAAAGCAATGAACAACACTACCAAAAAAAATATATAATGGCAGCAATTAATTCATAACCCTAACCCTAACTTTGACTATATCCCACCTAAATTTAGAGATCATCTGAAGAACAGATTTAATACAATAAAGACTAAAGATCGAACACCTGAAGAGTTGTGGGATGACATCAAGAACATCATACATGAAGAAAGCAAAAAGTCATTGAGAAGACAGGAAAGAAGGAAAAGGTCAAAATGGATGTCAGAAGAGACACTGAAACTTACTTTCCAGCATAGAGATGCTAAACCAAATGGAAGAAATGAGGAAGTCCAAGAGCTGAACAGAAAATTTCAAAGATCAGCACGAGAAGATAAAGCCAAATATTACAACAAAATGTGCAAAAATCTGGAATCAGAAAACCAAAAAGGAAGAACACGCTCAGCATTTCTCAAGCTGGGAGAACTGAAGAAAAAATTCAAGCCTTGACTTTCATTATTGAAAGATTCTCTGGGCAAATTACTAAATGATATAGAAAGCATCAAGAGAAGATGAAAGGAATAAACAGAGTCACTGTACCAAAAGGAAATGGTTAATATTCAACTGTTTCAAGAGGTAGCATATGATCAAGAGCCAATGATACTAAAGGAGGAATTCCAAGGTGCATTGAAGGAATTGGCAAAGAACAAGGCACCAGCAATCGATGGAATAAATATTGAAAATTTTCAAGAAAGCAAGGTGGCACAGGAAGCACTCACTTATCTCTGCTGAGAAATTTGGAAGACAGCTATCTGGTCGACTAATTGGAAGCGGTCCATATTAGTGCTCATTCCAAAGGGAGGTGACCCAACGGAATGAGGAAATCATTGGGCAATCTCTTTAATATCCCATGCAAGTAAAGTTTTACTAAAGGTAACACAGAAACGGCTGCAAGCATACATTGACTGAGAACTTCAAGAGGTTTAAGCTGAATTTAGAAGACGCCGTGGAAAGAGGGATATCATTGCTGATGTCCAATGGATCTTAGCTGGAAGCAGAGAATATCAAAAAGATGTTTACCTGTGCTTTATTGACTACCCAATTGTGTGGATCATGACAAGCTATGGACAACATTGCTAAGTATTAATATTCCTGAACACGTAATTTTGTTCATGAGGAATCTGTACCTGGACCAAGAAACAGTTGCTCGAACAGAACATGGGAACATTGAATGTTTTAAATGTTTAAAAAGATGTGCGACAAGGTTGTATTCTTTCACCATATTTATTCAACCTGTATGCTGAGCAAATAATCTGAGAAGCTGCGTTATATGAAGAAAAACATGGCATCAGGATTGGAGGAAGACTCATTAACAACCTGCCGATATGCAGATGATACAACCTTGCTTGCTGAAAGTGGAGAGGACATAAAACATTTACTGATGAAGATCAAAGAGCACAGCCTTTGGTATGGATTACATCTCAATTTAAAGAAAACAAAAATCCTCACCACTGGACCAATAAACAACATTCTTATCAACGGAGAAAAGATTGACATTGTCAAGGACCTCATTCTTCTTGTATCACCCATCAACACTCATGAAAGCAGTAGTCAAGAGATCAAATGACGTATTGCATTTAGCAAATATGCTGCACAAGACATTTTTAAAGTGTTGAAGAGCAAAGATGTCAGCTTGTGGACTAAGGTGCACCTAACCCAAGCCATGGTATTTTCAGTAACTTCATATGCATGCAAAAGCTGGACAGTGAATAAGGAAGAACGTAGAAGAATTGATGCTTTTGAGTTATGGTGTTGGAGGCGAATATTGAAAGTGCCATGGGCTGCCAAAAGAACCAATATATCTATTTTGGAAGAAGTGCAACCAGAGTGCTCCTTGGGCACCAAGATGGCCAAACTTCTTCTCTCATACTTCAGACATATTGTCAGGAGGGACCAGATGCTGGAGAAGGATATCATGTTTGGTAAGGTGGAGGGTCAGAGGAAAAGAGGAAGACCCCCAACGAGATGGATTGGCCAAGTGGCAATATTGATGGACTCAAGCGTGGCAGCTGTAGTGAGGTTGGCCCAGGATTGGGCAGTGTTTTGTTCTGCTGTGTATAAGGTCACTATGGATTGGTACTGATTCGATGGCACCTAACAACAACAACTATCTTTATGCCAAAATGCATGTATATATGCATGAATCTAAATATCTTAAATCATTAATTGTCTTCCAATTATAAATATGCAATATATTTGAACAAGGAGTATTATATTTGTATGTATGTATCTATGTAAAATCCACTTACTAAAACTTCCCAAAACAAAAGCACCACCATGAATAAAAATTACAGCTCGTCTCTTTCTTTCTGACTTCCTCTTTGGCAGGTACAAACGTACTGGAATGTCACTAAATGTTGTATCAGTCACTGTGATGTTTTCATCAGAAATTGGTTGTGAATAGTCCAGTTCCATTAACATAGTAAAGAATTCTTCATATCTCATAATACCTATGTTTTCAAGTAACTTAGCCTGTCAAAACAAAACAAAATTTTAAATGTAAAACATTTTTATTTTTTTTTAAGTTATGAAAGTTTATATTTTAAACAATCATGTTTCAGATATGAACATAGGCTATATAGCTTCCCATTTTGATCATTTTCTACTTGCACACACAATACATTCCCCCAAAATGTTTTGTTTTTTTCTTAAATCCCACATTAAGAAGTGTTGTTAAGAGTCATTGAGTCGGTCTGACTCATAGAGATCCTGTATAGGGTTTCCAAGAGTGACTGGTGGGTTTAATTTCTAACCTTGTGGTTAGCATAGTTAGTAGTCCAGTTCTTGTCCTACAGCACCACACCAGGGCTCAACATCAAGAATAAGCCTTGGTTCTTACGATGGGAAATCTGTCTTTCTGCATTGAATGGCTTGTGGAATTTGACATTTATAATTGATGTGATTGAATGGCAACAATGTAGAGAATTTAATCTTGGAAGGTTGAGACATGTGTGTGTCTGTGTGTGTGTATAGAACTGTGGTTTGATATAAAGTTCACTGGACTTGATGCAGAAGGTGATGTTTTGTATCTGATCTCCAATACTTGATCATTGGGTAGTCTTATCTTGTTTCAGGTAGATCTAAGGAGCTCTGGTAGCATAGTGGTTATGAGTCGGGCTGCGAACCTTAAGGTCAGCAGTTCTAAACTACCAGCTGTTCCGTGGGAAAAAGATGAGGCTTTCTGCTCCTGTAAAGATTTAAAAACATTTTGATTTTTAATAAAAAAATTAAAAGGAAGAACAAATAGTATAATAATCACTTACACTCTTTACTGTACATTTTAAAAGACATTATTTTTGCTTCTAGAGACATTTCAAACATGTAGTGTTTAGAATAAGTAATCAGTCTATTGGCAGGGTATTTTATTTGCGGTCTAATTATCTTTTAATTGTAATTTATCAGACATGTTGTATGAAAAATAACAGATTTATACTTCTTTTTATATGCATATTACTAGGACTTTAGTTTTATTTCATTAGTGACTTAATTCACTTTAAAAATTCTCAAAGTAGCCATGCTACTATTGTTGTCAAGAGACATTGAGTCAGTTCCAATGCAAAATGACCCTGTTTAGGCTTTCTGAGTAGCAGCTGGTGGAACCGAACTGCCAATCTTGTGGTTAGTAGTGCAGTGCTGACCCTACAGTGGCACACCAAGAGTCCAAATTAGCCATATTTACTTATTTATTTATTATTTAACAAAGTTGGCAGTTCAAACTCACCAGCCACTCCTTGGAAACGCTACATATGGTTATTGTGAGTCAAAACAGATTCAAGGGCATGAAACAACAATGTAAGTGTGGCACTGTAGGATAAGCACTAGACTGCTAATCACAAGTCACCTGTTCAAACTACCAGCTGCTCCTTGGAAACTCTATACAGGGCTGCTACGAGTTAGAACTGACTCAAACACACTTGGTGTTGGTGGTGGTGGCTATGCACTCTCTAGTTGGTTCCTACATGTAGCAATTCTGTATAGGGTTTCTGAGGCTGTTTATCTTTACAGGAGCAGAAAGTCTCATCTTTCTCCTGCAGAGCCACCGCTGGATTCTAACTGCTGGCCTTATGGTTTAGCAGCCTGACATGTAACCCAATACACTACCAGAACTCCTTCAATGGCATTTAACAATAATAAAATCTAGGAAAGTGAGAGAGAAAATGAAGACTAATAAAACTCTATGTCAGTTGATGGGAATGCTTTGAGGAAACTAAGAAAATAAGTGTATTATTTGATTTCTTAATCATCCATCTGTTGATTCTCCTCTTCTATCAGCAATAGCTCCACATGTATTACCAATTTTACCTCCATTTGCTGCTGGTATTGTGGGATAAGCATTGGACTGCTAATCATAATGTTGGGAATTCAAACCTACCTGTTTTTCCCTGGGAGGAAAATGAAACTGTCTGCAACCACAAAGAGTCATAGTCTCAAAAACCAATCTAGGGTCACTGTGAGCCAAACTGACTCACTGACAATGGATTTAATCTTTTTGTTTGTTGCTGTTTTTCTTTAGTTGTACTTATTAGATGACAAAATTCAGATAATTCAGGTCAAACTCAGGTTCTGACAAAAAAAGAAAGAAGACAATAATTTTCTTCTTCTGTTACTTCATTTATCAATTATTCATTTATTTGACAAGGACACCTTGAATGTGTACTTACTGTTGTTGCTAGGTGCCCTAGAGTAGGTTCCAACCCATTGCCACTCTATGTACAACAGAACAATGTACAATAGAATGAAACACTGCCCAGTCCCATGCTATACTCAACATACTATGTTTGAGCCCATTGTTGCAGCCACTGTGTCAATTCACCTTGCTGGGTGGATTCTTCTTTGTCAATGACTCTTCACTTTACCAAGTCTGATGTCCTTTTCAAAGTACTGGCTCCTCCTGATAACATATCCAAAGTACATAAGATGGAAAACGCACTATCTTTTTTCCTAAGGAACATTCTGTTTGTACTTCTTCCAAGACAAATTCGTTGCTTCTCTTGATAATCTATGGTAATTTCAATATTCTTTACCATTACCACAATTCAAATGCATCCATTCACTTCCTGGTCTTCCTTGTTCATTGTCCAGTTTTCACATGTGTATAAGGTGATTTAAAATGCCATGAATTGGGTCTAGCATAGCTCAATCCTCAAAATAGCATCTTTGTTCTTTGGCACTCTAAAGAGGTCCTTGACAGCAAATTTGACTAATGCATTAAGTTGTTTGATTTCTTTACTATTGCTTCTATGAGTACTGATTGTGGATAAATATATATATATTTTTAATCCTTACTAATTTCAATCTTATCTCTGTCTATTATGATGTTGCTTATTAGACCAGTAGTGAAGATCTTTTTTCTCATCACATTGAGTTGTAATTCACACTAAAGGCTATATTCTTTGTTAGTTGAATTTAAGTAGAAATAAAAATGTAGGTCCAATAAATTATTTACTTTGTTTCCTGAACATTCTTAAGCTCTAAATACTTTTTTCTCAAATCTAAATATTGAATAATAGTATATTAAAGATAATTTACCAAAGCAACTATTCATGGAGTGAAGACATTTTCAAATTCACTGTATGCTTCATGCAACAGTATTTTTAATATGTTCAAAAATATACCTTCTACAAATGCATTGGTGAATTATAATATTTTGTATTAATTTATTTTTCTTTAAATTCTGAATAATATATGAATGGTTACTAGATTAATTATTTATTCTTATGTATGCAATGTAGTAGTTAAAATTATAGCTTTGATTAGAATTGTAGCTTCTGTTTGGCCAACATAGAATAAGTTCACTGAAGCTTATCTCTTCTATTGATTAAAACTAAAGTCACTCTAAAATTACAAAAGAAACTGCTTGGGAACACTGAAAAGTAAACCAAAGGTTCTAGATTGAAGATGGAACTCAAAACATGAGTAAGGATCCATAAGAAAAAGAACATGACATATTTTTTTTCTCTTTTGTCCTAAACCTTGACTTCAGAACTTTACATTTATCCTCAGCACTTTACCCTGAGAACTGAAAGCAAATATTCTAAGAGAAGTCCATATTTCTCTTCAGAGGACTGGTTAACATGTATACCTGCACCAGGATTCATAGGATGGGGACCAGGGTAATTTCCATTTTATTTTCTACCACATCATGCGTCAAGATCAGCTCTATTTGAGGAGCTGTTTGTTCATGGTAGTGAAGGTGCAGTAATCTAAAACTCTCAGAGAAGACTTACCTTTTTTGGCCAGAAAACTCTGCAAAGGCATCCCTGTTGTCCAAAAAACATAAAGGGATTCTCCATTATTTTTTCCTGTTTTGTTTTTCAAAGCTCCACCCTAAAGGTGGTTCCAGTTATGTGAAACTGCATCAGCATCACGAATTACTAAAACCCTATATAAAAATAATCTATCTGTATAGAAAGACTTGAGAAGTGGTTCTGTGTACCCACCTTCTCCATAGACTCTAAGGACCCTTTGATGTAATCACTCATGGAATTTAAGCCATGAGGTTCATTGTTGCTCTCAGAGACATTTTATTAAGTTTCACTATGTGCCTTTTGTCTGAGAACCCCTTACACTTTCTCTCTAGTTGTTTGCCAGTGATTGCTAGCTGCAAGTTTAGGTAGAGTCCTTTGATAATCCTTTAATGTATCCAGGGAAAATCCTCAGTTGAATTTGTAAGAAACTGCAATTAGATATTCTAGAACAAAGTTCTTTAGTACGCCTAAGTTTTTGTGGTAATGAGGGAAGGAATGTTTGAACATATAAATATAAATAGTGAAAGCATATATAATAATAGACACTCATAATCACAAAAACTTAGACATATATAAGAGCTTTGTCTGAAAATCTAATTTCAGTGTCTTACAAACTGAACTGGTAATTTTACCTGAATCCATTAAAAGATTATCAAAGGCAGTCTTACCTAAACTTGCAGATAGCAATCACTGACAACCAAGCAGAAGGAAAGCGTTAAGAGTTTCATATATATACAGTGACACAGAGTCACTGTACCAAATAGAAATAGTCGGTGTTCAACATTTCAAGAGCGAGCATATGATCCAGATCCAATGGTACTGAAAAATTAAATCCAGAGTGCACTGAAGGCATTGACAAAGAGCACGGCTCCTGGAGCTTATGGAATACAAATTGAAATCTTTCAACCAACTGATACAGCACTGGAGGCACTCACTCATCTATATCAAGACATTTGGAAGACAGTTGCCTTGCCAACTGATTGAAAGAGACTGATATTTGTGCCTGTTCCAAAAAGAGGTGACCCAACAGAGTGTTGGAACCTTCTAACAATATCATTACTATCACATGCAAGTAAAATTTTGCTAACGATAATTCAAAAATAACTGCAACAGTACATTGACAGAGAACTGCAAGAAGTTCAAACCTGATTCAAACATCTTTGCTCTTGAACACTTTAAAGAGGTCTTGTGTAGCAGATTTGACTCACTCATCTGTGCCAAGAA